AAAGGTGAATAAAAAAACTAAGGGGTTGAATCGCCCACTTTCTTCGTGCCATTTGTACAATATCGCATATGAAATATCCCATGTGAGAACTGGGAAGCCTTTTGCATGGACGATACTGTTGTGGTGTCAGACCTTGGTGAACTCCGGTGACACAAGTTAGGCGGAAAAACTTTGCCCCACAAATGTAATTTAGCTAGCTGTGACATACAAAAGGTCATCTACTCCAAAGTTTACCATATTTAGTCTCGACAGGACCAGGGCTGGATCACACTGGCCAACCCGAAGCACGACGCCGCCCGAACAAACACCCAGAGTGCAAGTGAGTCGAAAGGCACATGCGAATTTCAAGAAATAGCGTAGGCAAGGCGATCTCTAAGTTGTTCCGTTAGGTTTCGAAACTATCAGTGACTCGTGGATAAGAAAACGAGACACCTCAAGTCGCTTTAGGTCATGCAATTTAGGTTGTCTACTAAGGAGTATCAAGCGAAACTGGGTTTTGATGATTCTCCTGAGATAACATTGTTGGGGGACTTTCATTTCGTACCCAACAATGGGTACCAAGTCTAAAGACGTCTCGCCTTTCAAAATGCTTCCTTATTCTTCTTCGAATTCTGTTAAGGCCGCCGCAGTCCCAGCAGGACTATAAAGCATTTTGAGATTTGGTGATTTGAGTGAGGGCTGACTTTCTTTGTTTCTTCTGTCTTGTAACTCATTAGCACTCCGGCTGTATACCGGAGCAACAGAGTAGCTGCTAGACCCGCAATCACTTGTGCCAACCAGGAACAACTATTTGCCATCGAATGTGCACAACTCGGTCTAGAGGACGTACTGAGCGAACCCGAGAGGTTTAACTTAGAGTATATCTTTGGCAGGAAAGACTAGTGATGATGGCAGGCATAGGCGATCCAGTGGCCATTTTACCAACAGAGGCCTGCTGTAGCTTTCGACGACTGAGGAAATACATCTTAGAGACATTTCTATATATAACCAAATAAAGTGTCAAGTAGGACAGTGATAACGACAATTGAGTCAAAGCTTATGATACAGACACACTGGATACATTGTCCCTGTTTTGACAATTACACTTCATCCGAGAGACAATGAATAACGCGAAAGCTGGTCTGAGAAACAAGCGATGTTTTATCTGTCCCAAAAGTAAACATAACGCAACGAAACGTCTTCAGAATGGTTTTCAATAGAGGCCGTTAGAAGCATGCTTGGCCATTTGTTGTACGATGCCTGTTGTTGCCTGCAAGTTTTCGAGTGCACCGATTCACTCATTCCAGTGTCCAGGAGAGCTGAAATGATAGGAAAACAGATAAACGGCCGTGCAATGACGGCAGGAAACCAAAGGAGACTGAATAAAAGCTGGAGAAACCGCAAGCGATTGGGCAGGCCGACGATCTTTTTTCAGAGACGGAGACAATCATCTGCTGATGGGTCCAAAGCAATTTATAATCGAAAGCAGCTTTTGATTAATGCGACATTCATTGGGTATGTATGGATTCAAAGCTTCAGAAGAGGGCGACAGAGGTCTGTGCTTAAGCCCCAGGTAATAGTAGTCATACTTCAAAGAAAGGCAAAATTGTTTGCGGGTAGGTAAAATTTTGGACAATCGCGTTTATCCACTGTCTGTCATGTGGCAGAAACGCTCGGAGAAGGGTTGGGTTGGGAGAATGGGCAGAGCAAACGCTGATGGAAGTCGGGAGAGATAAGGAACATGGGCAAAAAACCCGTTTGGAAGGAATATTTAAAGGGCGAGATGGGGATGGCCAGGTATGTGTCAACTTAGGCAAATGAATGGAATGCCAATCCGAAGTAGAACCGCCTTTTTAAAGGGCAAATGGGCATCGGTATATACAGACTCGTGATTTCAACTCTCTTGGTCCTGAGATGGACCCTCCGCGGCAAGCAGAGATTGGCGCTTTGGAGATAGGATAGCCTGAGCATTCGGAGTACGGATCCTCGCGATTGGAGGAAGCTGGAAATCAAGTTTCAAACAGAGATTTTCTGGGAACCGTACAAACCTGGTGGATGCAACCTCTGGAGAGGCATGTTTGGAAGGGTTAAAAATTGACAATAATAAAACAGTACAAAAAAAACAGACTCGTAAAAAAAAGTAAAAAAAACGTTGAGAAGTGTGACTAAAGCGTCGAGTGGGTGCGATGAGAGTGCTAAGGTCAGGTCACAAAAGGATTCATTGAAGAAAGAGGATATTTTTTAAATCTCGAAAACCCAATTAAGAAAAACTGTCAAAGGAGAGCAATTTAGCGGAAAATTTGTGATAACGAAAAAGGAAGAAGAGATCTAAAGCAGAACACTGGGTTTGGTTACTAGTTATGAGCAGGAGTGGAAGAGGATAATGCTGTAGCTGAATTAGAAAGCAGTGATGTGGTCGAATGAGCGCTTTATCAAGCAGAAAAGACTTAAGTGTTGAGTAGCTTCCTGCCCTTAGCAGGCGAACCAATCGTCACTTGGGTGGAGTCGGAATTCGAGAGGGCGGAGATGCAGCCTTATCCTCGAGCCGAGAGGAGTCGAGGTCGCCGGAGAAGACTGAGCAATCGGCGAAAATACCGAGCCAGTCGACGTCGACGTCCCGTGGCGACGGGGGTTCTGGATTCTGGGCGCAAATGAGGTTGGGCGACTCTTTAACCAGAAGTTCGGGAGAGGGTCGGAGACGTCTCGGCGCCTCCGAGACGGCGCCGCCGACAGCCCGAGAAGATGGGCTGGATAATGATGAGGATGGGGTGGCGGCCGACTGCTGAATGGTCAGTTTGCCCAGGGGCTGGAGAAATGCGAGGTCCAGGTTGCTCAGCGAGTCCGAGTGGGCGTTGCCAGACGGCAGCGGATGGAGGCTGTCACCAACCTTCGTCTCTTGGTCCGCCATCTGTGCGGCGTTCTCGGGAACCAACTGCTCCTGTTGCTGTTCTGTTGGGCGGCGACGCCGGAAGAAGCCGCACTGGTAGAGCAGGAGGACGAGGCAGACGAGCACAAGCAGGCCGACCACGAGACCGACCACAATGGGCCAGACGGGAATGTGCACGGGCACGAGGGCCTTGACGCCACGGAAGAGGAAGTACTGTTCCAGTGCGAAGGAGGGCGGCAGCGGCGGCGGCGGCGTCTCCTCGGGCCAGAGATGGGTGGGCACGAGGCCGGTCGGCCGGTCGCCCCAGTCGGCCAGCGAGAGCCGGCTCGTCAGGTGGACGTCAGAGGCGCGCAGTCGGAAGACGCTGGAGGCCATCAGCCAGCCAGACCAGCGCACACGCACGGCGTCGCCGCGGGGAAGCCGGTCGAGGCTGCAGACGATGCGGGCGCAGGTCACCGCGCCAGATGAGCCCCGGCCGGCGGCTGATATGGGCCGGGACGGTTCGTCCGTTTGAGCCAGTTGGCGCAAAGTGGCAGCACGTGCTGACCCGGGGCTGGAGAGGTTTCCGGCGGCACAGTCGAACCGAGTGTGCGCCCAGGAGCGTCGAAAGAACGAGCTCGTGGGTGTCGTAGCGGACGACCCGATCGAGTGAGCCGAGCTGATCCGTTCCGCCTCCTCCGCCTCCTTCGCCTCCGTTTCCGTCAGATCCACAGAGCGGACCTGGCGACTTTGGACTGGTGAAAGGAAAAGCATTTATGGCCGAAAATCAA